CAGCCGCCTCGGCCCCCGCCGCCAATCAAGACGCCGTCTTCTGCTCGTGCTCCTCCTCGTCGAGCTCCTCTTCCTTCTGCTCCACCTCCACTCTGCCTCCCAGTGCCAAACTTCACCCCAAACCCTCCACATCCACCCTTCCTTTAGGACAGCAGTGAGAAGGTGGATACCGGTGTACATCTTGTACAGGAAGGACACTAGTAGCAAGCGGTTGCGTGTTGGTGTGTGTGGGTATGGGGGTGTATAAATACTGTAGTGTGTGTATTTGTGTGAGCGTGCGTTTGTGTTGCATTTTTCAATACATATCCTCTGTGTGTTTCCGCACCGTCAAGTTTTCTATCCGGCTTAGTTGGACCTGAACTCGCCCTATATAGAGACATTTTTGACATGAGATATGATCCTCTTTGTTTTTATTTATCAGTGCTTCAAACTAAAGGACTATTTGATTTTTAAAAAGTGCAATTAGTAACTGATATTTAAATTCATCTTTTCTGTGTTGTTGTGACATGGATCTGTATAGCTTAAAATAAATATTTTTTATATATACGCACAGAAACGACAACGACAACCTGACGTCAGCAGTGAAGCGCCATCTTTGTAGAGCACAACGGATTCAGCCGGCGGCGGGATCGATCGCATGTTTCAGCGCAGAGCATGGTAACCTTGCAACCATCATCGTAGCTACGAAAACAATCGTTGTGCACGGATAAGGCATGCTTCTCATGTATTATATTTTACGATGATAAATAGCGGTAGCGTTTTACATTTAGCCAAGATTTTTTCTAGAAAAACATAAATAGCCATTGACTAATTCCTTTTAAGATGCTGCAATTGATTCTGATAGAAAAAAAAAACACCAGTTCATTTGGTTTCAAATGAAACTAGCTAATATGATTGCAGTATTTTCCTCTGTTTTAGCAGACGTTCATACTTTTTAAGGTTTACACTATTAACATTAATCCCATGGTGAAGTGTGCAAGACTAGACGGCTGTTTGGAAAGCTCAAGTGAAGTGAATGCAGCTTGTTCTTGTTCTTGTGTATTTTTGCAGTCCCGTATGAACGTGCTTCCGTGCACACCGATCTGTGAACTGTGAGTTTGCTTTTAGTGAATGCAGCGCATCAGCAAAACAAAAGATGTATTCCTCATTGAATCTAACTTTTCATCAGATACTACTCTGGTGGAAAATTACATATACATAGACATAACTGCCAAGCAAGTTTGGGAGAAAATCCAGAAATAGGTTGCCTTTCTACAGTGTATTTTTCCTGATCATAAAGCGTTTATGTGATTCAGCTAGACCAAGATATCAGAGCCCAGTCTTTAAATCAGCAGCTACGCAACTCTGTTGTACAGCCGGACTACTGAGATTTATAAAGCGGTTGTCAGAATGCATTCTCCGTAAGTCTGCAATGCCCATATACAGAAACGTGACGGTGTTTTTTAATGTTTTGTTGGAAAACGTAACGGAAGGTTGGTACAAATGAGGCAACCTGCATTTTTCAACAAGTAGGTGAGAGATAGACAGGGTGGAATGTATTGTGCACAGGGAATGAGGAACCGGTTTGTGTTGTGAAGCTTTTTAAATTGTGATAATGCTTGAACTTGTGGATGTTACAAAAAGAGGTCAACATGACTGCTGCCTACAGAGGGTTGCGATCATTCAGTTTCCAGTATTTTATGTCACTTTTCTAAAGACAAGACCCACCTCTTCACAGTAAACCAACAGTACAGCAGTGGTGAGTATAAAGGCTGTTGTGTCTAAGAAAACTCCAAACATTATCCATTTGATCTGTACAAATGGGAAATGTAAAGATAACCCTCTGCTGAAGTGTTACCAAAATGTAATCTAAAAAGAAAGCATTATTTTTGTATTTTGAAAGGGGTTGTAAAAATGTAAAATTGTGTACTGATCAGTGTTGAGAAAGCTGTGGTTATCTGATAAGACACAGGTCCTAAGACGGTTTCTCGAGTTCACCTGGCTTCCAACTTTACCCCAAACATTTGTTCAAAGATTACAACATATAATATTTTGATTTTTAGAGGGGTTTTGATTCAAAGCGAGTGATTGGGAATGTTAAAAGCTGAATCATTTCTACAGTGGAGGTATAAGTGTGGGTGAAGTTGTACAGTAAAACCAGGGGGACCCCAGAATTACTTGACTGACCACCAATAATTAAAGGTTATTTAAGTGAACATAATCTATAGAGGACTAAACTTATTGCTGGTGATTTAGCTACTGTAAATTGTAACTAATTCAACTGTTGATTCTATGTATGTTTTGTAACTAATCAAAAATAAACATCAAATGTTACACATCAGTGTTATGGGTTTTTCTTGTCACCTTCAAATGCACATAAAACGTTGTCTCTGTTTTAATTAAAACTGCAGTAAAAACAGTTATATTGTAAAATATTCCAACTGTTTTCTTCTTTTTTTTAGTGTGAAAATATCAGCATCATGAATTTTCAGCATCATTACTCCAGTCTTCAGTGTCACATGATCCTTCAGAAATCAGTCTAATATGCAGATTTGCTGCTAAAGGTATCAATATTGCAAAAGGTTGTGCTGCTTAATATTTAACACGCCGTTATACATTTTTTCAGGACCCTTTGATGAACAGAAAAAATAGAATGTACTGTCACTTTTGATCACTTTTGCTAAATAAAAGTATTCATTTCTTTAAAAATCTTTATTTATTTTTTTTGAGATTGTCCTCACTGCAGAAGATCCAGGGGGTGTGGTTGGATCAGATCCAACTCCTCCCACCTTACATATAGCTAAACCTACCGGTCTCCACCCCCTGATCCCTAAACCCACCCTTCTCCACCCCTAAACCTACCAATCTCCACCCCCTAGATGTGGATCCAACCACGCCCCCTGGATCTTGTGTTCTGCAGTGAAGGGCTGCTGACATTTTTGAACGGTAGTTTATTTGCTCATAACATTTGTCACTTAGTAGCAGTAGCACTGTTTCAAACTGTAATAACAGTGCCTGTAATATTCCGTGATACCAGTAGAGGTCTCAAAAGTGTCTTCCTGACATTCTAAGCGCTCTTTACTGTATAAATTCACAAGAATACAACAACAGTCCAACGAAGATTATTTAGGCCATGATTCAGAGACAAAAATTACATGTCCAGCTGTTTTTGAAATAAGAAACATGTTAGCCAGAATTCTAGAAAGCTGAAAATGTTGAGCAGCATAAAACCAGATTTTCCTGTCAGCTAAGAAAACTACGAATTATCCAGTAGCTGTCATCATAACTGTAAATTCATATATAATGAAGCGTGATCTTAAGCGTTTGCTGTTCTCTCAGATGTGAGTGTTTAGCACTGTACAGTGGACGGTCTGTTGAGATCAGGCATGTTCTGCTGCGGGTTCAGAAGTCGCCAAACCCCTCGACAATGTATCTATTGTGATAGCTCGGTCTATATGCATCAATAGGGGGATTAAGCAGTCGACATGGCACGAGTACAATAATGCTCTTCACTGTGAATAAGAAACCCATGCAAGACCCTCTGCGGATGACGACCCGCTCATAAAACTCTGAGGGACTCTGACCAGAGTCTGACTGGAGTTTCTGTGTGATACCTGTAGAATTATTACCACTCAACCCTCTGTAATTAGTATAACTATATGTCCTGAAGGAAGCTATTAAGTGGGAATGCAAGTGAGTGATTCCTCGAGTTGGGAGGGGAACGTTTCTGTTCCCTAGAACAGAATTAATTTTTCATTTTCTTTTTTTATTACTTTTTACGTTGAGAAGTCAATTTTGCTAAATTGTCCAAATTTGCAACAAAAAAAAGGGCCAAATTCGTAGAATTCTATTAAAGTGAATTTCACTTCAAAAAACATTTAAATTATATAAAAAGTGTTAAAATCAGAGTGACAATTGTAAATTATTTGAATCTAATTCCGTCTTCATATAAAATATAAACGAATGTAAATATATAGCTATCATATTTTTATATGATAATATAAAATTAATATACGTAATTATTGCTAAACTGACCAATCAGAGTGGGCATGTAAAAACTATATAAAAATTATTTTTTTAAGGGAGAGGCTAAATGAAATTTAACCAATCATGGACAGAGGTAGGCTTAACCATTTAAGCCAATCAGCTTGAACGGTGGGCTATATTACGTTAGTTCGTCATCAAACCTATAACCTTATAATATTTATTAGTCATTATCAAAACTGGTCAGTGTTTAAGCATTTCTATTCACAGACAAATAAATTAACTGCCTGCAAGTCGGTGGCCAATCTCACATAGCCTACAAAAACCACTAAATCATATTTTAAACCAAGATGTAGCTAGAAATTGTGTTTATTCCAGGATTTGATTTCAACATAGTCTAAAGATTTTTTTTCTTTCCCTCAAAATGGCAAGTAGTCAAAGGTGCACTTGTAATTGCAGCTCATCACTTCATGAAGAATCGCCCATCAGTTTGTGAGTCACAGGCTGTTGCTCTAGTTTCTGAAGGGTGGAGGAGCGCAGTGTTCATGCAGTGATTGGTAAATATCGAGCCAATCCAAATGTGAACATCACAAGTGTACACTGAGGGAGTGGTGAGCCTGCGTCATACCTTCAACTTTCCTTCTCACTCTTCTAATCTCGTTTTAGCCTAGTAAATAGTTTATTGTCCGTTGACTAAGTGGGAAAATCCAATGGGAAATGTGCTACCGCAAAGCGGAATTTTTTGATCATACACACACCGCGGATTATTTGACAGGGAACAGGGATTATTCAACAGGGAGAGCAGCCGAGGAAGATTTATAGAAGAATTTCATGGATATTTTATTTTAGCAAAAAACTTTTTTTTCCTCTCACCGGAATATCATCCACAGGCTGTCCATCTTCCTAGAGAAGGGAGCGCTTGGTGTCCGTGTTTCCGCGGTATGTCTGAGGACTCGAGGCGATCCTTCACTCACGAGACGAGACGAGATGAGACAGCAGGTGCTCGCGCTCAGCGCGCTCGTGTTTCTCTGTGCACCTCAGCCTGTAACTACACAAACACAAGAAGGTATAAAAGTGTTTGAATTATGTTTAAATGATATGTATTATTGTTAATGGCGTTATACGAAACACGTATGTGAATTACTATCGTCTCGCCTAACAATTCATAATGTAAGTTTAAAAATTAACGGGTTATTTGATTTCCTTCATGGTTTATGCCCTTTAATAGCCTACCCCCAGGGTTTAGCTCCTTTCCACCTAATTCAATTTAATTAGTTGTTCCACCTCTACACTACTTAATAGGATGGAATCTGTACCTAGGTATAGTTGACCAATAACATAGACATTAACTTTATGTTTACGTAGCCTATTTAACTGTATAAAGGAAAGCAGGTGCTATGATCGGTCACACGATCACGTGATTGAAACCACGTTTTTGCAGCTCATTTAAATAGTACTGTGGTGTGGCAGATGCATTTTAAAAGCACTGTGCAGTCCTTAAAACTCATGTAGAAATAAAACTGGCATATAATGTTTTGCATGAAGACGTTTAGCATGTCACACTGCTGTCACTTCTTGATATGTGACTCTGGACCTCAAAACCAGTCTCAAGTCGCAAGGGTATATTTTTAGCAATAGCCAACAATACATTGTATGGGTCAAAATGATCAATTTATGCCAAATGGAATCTGTACCTAGGTATAGTTGACCAATAACATAGACATTAACTTTATGTTTACGTAGCCTATTTAACTGTATAAAGGAAAGCAGGTGCTATGATCGGTCACACGATCACGTGATTGAAACCACGTTTTTGCAGCTCATTTAAATAGTACTGTGGTGTGGCAGATGCATTTTAAAAGCACTGTGCAGTCCTTAAAACTCATGTAGAAATAAAACTGGTATATAATGTTTTGCATGAAGACGTTTAGCATGTCACACTGCTGTCACTTCTTGATATGTGACTCTGGACCTCAAAACCAGTCTCAAGTCGCAAGGGTATATTTTTAGCAATAGCCAACAATACATTGTATGGGTCAAAATGATCAATTTTCCTTTTATGCCAAAAATCATTAATCCTAATAAGAAAAAAAAATGTTCTATGAAGATATTTTGTCAATTTCTCACTGTAATTATATCAAAACTTAATTTTTGATTGATAATATGCATTGATAAGAACTTCATTCGGACAACTTTAAAGGCAGTTTTCCCAATATTTAGATTTTTTTTTGCACCCTTAGATTCCAGATTTTCAAATAGTTGCATCTCGACCAAATATTGTCATATTGTCCTAACAAACCATACATCAAAGCTTATTTATTCAGCATTCAGTTGATGTATAAATCTCAGTTTTTAAAAAAATTGACCTGTATGACCCGTTTTGTGGTCCAGGGTCACATATGTCAAAAACCCACTTGAACTTTCTAGACATCACCTGACCACAACTGACCCTATATACACTTTTTTTAAAATAGGCTTTTTAAATGGTCCAAAAAGTGTTTAGAAGAACCATTTGAGTTCCCCAAAGCACCTTTCAGTTAACTTTTTTTAAAGAACCATTTTTTCTGCATGTTTAATAATAAATAAACTTTTTTTCCATTTAAAAATTACCTATTGTGCAAAGTAAACTATCCATGGATGTTAAAATGTGTTGTTTTTTTTCAAACCATCACTGGCAATAAAAAACTTTTATTTTAAAAGTGTTCAGAACTTAATTGAGAATTAGCAAGGGTGTATGAGTGATTTGAGACGCGTGTGTGAGTGGGATGAGCTTAAACATTAGTTAAGGGAATGGCTTCTGTGCCTTTACAGCAAGCTCTTGTGAACCGTAATAATAATAATAATATAGGAAAATGCATGCTTGTACATTAATTAAGGGAATGGCTTCTGTGCCTTTACAGCAAGCTTTTGTGAGTCATGTTGACTTGATATATTGACACTCTTGAAATAATTAAACCAGCTTCTACTTAAACAGCTTCAGGGCAAAGAACTCTTTTTCCCTCAGTAGCTCTTTTTCCACAGAACATTAGCTTTAAGAACTATGATTCCAGTGATGGCCAATCCCATTCTCGTAATTTTGCCGCCAATCACATTACGTCACTGAGCTGAACAGAATAAGGTGTGGGACTGTAGTGCCGTATCATAAACTGCTCTTTAATAACTCCTTTACAACCATGGCTCCAAAGTTCAGCCTCTTTTAAGCATACAAGAGGTTTGATAGGAAGGACTGGACTAAGTTAATAATGTAATCACTCTTTCCTTCTGGTGAAAAGAAGACTGGGAAGTTTTTGAATGGTTGACATCTGCACCGACCCAATAAAAGCTCTCCTGATGGTGCAATATCAAATATTAAGATCCTGTAGATGTGTGTATATAGGCGAAGCCTCTTTGTTTTAAAAGTCCAATGCATCACTTCATTTAAGACAGAAACTATGCATACGTCCCACTAACCGCCAAACCTAATGGCCTCTGATTCGGAGCAGTCTGTACTTGCAGAAGATGACGTGAATAGGTGTGGATGTGTGTTTTGGAGATTGTCTTTTTTGTCTCATGCCGGCTCTTATTTCAGTTTGACACTAGTACTCTTTACATGTCTTTCTCCATGTGTCTGCTAATCTATCTTTGCTTTCCCTCATGAATTCTTCCATTCACCCTTTTTTTGTCTCTTGTTCTGCCTGTCATACATGCTCAGTCCCCGCCCTGACTCTGTTATTAATGCTCATTGAGCTATAATCATTGTGCACTGCTGGATTCTATTGTATGTTCCATAGAGGTCTCTGCTCTCTATCTGTGGTACTGTTGACTTAAGATTACTTGTGTGAATGAACAGGACTCCATGCATTATTAGCATCCAGACATCATGTATGTATGTATGTGTATGTGTGTGTGTGTGTGTGTGTGTGCGTGCGGGCGGGCGTTTTTGTGATTTATGAGGACACAAATTTGTATAATGACATAGGTATTACAACGAGAAGGTGATATATGAGGACCTTTTGAGTGTCCCCATATTTCAAAAGGCTTATAAATCATTCAGAATTAGTTTTTTTGAAAATCTAAAAATGCAGAAAGTTTCCTGTAAGGCTAGGTTTAGGTGTAGGATTGGTGTAGGGCGATAGAAAATACAGTTTGTACAGTATAAAAAACATTACGCCTATGGAATGTCCCGACAATTCACAAAAACAAACCTGTGTGTGTGTGTATGAACATGCATATGCTATCTAGACGTAGGATAGGTGTAGGGCGATAGAAAATACAGTTTGTACAGTATAAAAAACATTACGCCTATGGAATGTCCCGACAATTCACAAAAACAAACCTGTGTGTGTGTGTATGAACATGCATATGCTATCTAGACAATACCTCATGTAATAGCAAATATGTATGTAAGTCATGTTGGTGTGTACACCTTTACACGTGCATGTATTCATAGCGTTATGTATAAGGATGTTTCTCAGATTTCATTTAATCATTTTGGATAGATAATAGGGATGCACTGATTAAAATTCTGGCCAGTACAATAATTATTCAATTATTCAATATTAAAAACCTCAACTGATTTGTCTAAAAAAATAATTTAATCCATGTTGTGATGCTTAAGAGAATTTAGGCACCACAATATTATATTTTACAGTATGAAATATGGATAACTATTGATTTTGAGATCTGTTCAAGAATGTAATGACAAAAAAGAGGTGGAAAGTCTTTAAAAACCTTCTTTATGAAAAAGTGCTCTCAAAGAGTTACATTTCTGCTGTAATGTTGCTGTAATGCCGGTCTTTTTTGACCCGGAAGAGATTTTTTAAAAATGCATAGTTTTTAGAAAAGGAACCTAACTTTGCAGATGGTCCATAACTATCAAAATGCACATTTCCTTTTTTTAGATAAAAAAAAAAAAATAGACAAAGAAAAGAAAAGAGTTCTGACCCGGGAATAAACGGAGGCTTTACACATCATGATGTTATGCAGACTTTTGTTTTTTACATCTTGATTTTTTTTCTCACATCTATGAGACTTTGAGTACCTATGAGTATCTATTTAGGCTTTTTCCAATATCTTGCACATACTTTTGTGACTGAAATTTTTTGGTAAACATGAATATACATGATTATTGATGAATCATTGCAGCATGAAAAAGAAATCTTTTTTATTTGAAGGTGAACATATTTGCATGTAAAAATAATTTTTTGTTTGAAAAATTTCCAGAGTAATATTAATGTTTTTGATGTTGTTTTGTTAAAAAATTCATATGTACCTGACCCAGAAATGCAAAAATTGTACAGTATGCATATTTTTGGAATGCATTATGTGAGTTAAGATAGCACTTAAAAATAGAAGTCATCTAAAATGTAAGAACATGCAGAAAAGAGAATCTAGAATTAAAAGTCTAATATTGGTCAATAAATATCCAGTATCAATTGCTACCAATCAAAAGTCACCTTTATTGTTCGATAACCAATATGATCCCAATAAATTGTACAAGATAACATTAAAACTCGACTGATAAAAACACTTGAGCCAATATATAACATATATTGCAAAAATCAAAAATAAAAGTCCACATTTAAAGATATAACACCATTTAAGATGTTTACAGAGTGTATCCGTTGTGAATTTGCTCTTTTATCTAAGACAAACATGCAGAATAGTGCAGATGTGTAACAGAAACCCATGTGACAGCACTTCCTTTTATGCATTCCCAGAACACATGCTACTATAACTCGTCCCCTCCAGCCTCATTCCTGAGACTTTAAGAAGGGCAGGCGAGTGCGTTTGACTGCTGTAGCTGTAAAGTCACTCAGTGGTGTGGTTGTACACATTTGGGGATGCAGTAACATATAGAATAGAGCTGTGTACAGGACAGCGGCCACTCTTATGTCCCCTTCTCTGGACTCCCCCTCCTCTTGATAAGAGTACTACGCTCACACTCAACCTATTGTCTGGTTGCATGATCTCAGCCCTGCACACACACACACACACAGAACCACTGTCAATCACAGCTACACATTAACAGAGCCACACATTTATAGCTAAGTGACAATACTGTGCTTTGTTCATTAATAATGCCTCTCTCGATCTCATAGCCAGATACAGCCTTAGGCTCCAGACATGCAGCTGAGCATTACACTCTGCCAGTCTCAGGAATATACCGCAAAATACGCCTGAAAAAAACCTGACTGCAGCAGTTTCCAACTCCCAACATTAAAATTTTTTGTTTTGTTTTGTTCTTCCTGAGTGTTCTTTGCACACAATTAATATTTTATGGCAACGCTTTGATGGATGGGTTTATTGAATGTGAATGCACGCAGGTTCACCAGCCAGAACTTGCTGTGTTTATTTTTCAATGTCATTTTCAAGTCCTTCTATGTTCTTAAAGGAATATTCCAAGTTGAACTCACACCCCATTGACATATTTGTGGCTGGCTCGTCCCACCTCTAAGGGCTGATTTCCAGAGTAAAACTCTACAAAAACTCTTTGCTCTACAAAGGCAAAATGCAAAAATTCTAAATTGAGTCGAGTCTCTGTGATCTGTGTTGTGATGGACAAGTTTGACTCAGATTCCGAGAAAACACACTGTAGAAATTGATATCAAATCAATCTAAATTCAATCAAAAAAACATTGATGCCATTTTCTCAGGTTAGTTTTTTTGTTTTTTTTTTGCCTTTTTAGAGCAAAACTCAACAGTAGCTCACATAAAATTTTCACAGAGGAATTTGTGAAATCAGTTCATACGGAGCCCGGGAAGTCACCTGTAGGAGAAAAAAAAAACAATCCGTGGCGACGGTTTTGCAATCCGTCCCCTCAATTTATAAACTGTACTCACGAATTCTTAAACTGTTCCCTCGGTTTAACAAATCGTGCCCACGGATTAATAAACCGTACCCACGAATTTCCAATCCGTGGGCTCAGATTTTGTAAACCGTACCTTCGGTTTTTGAATCCGTACCCACAAATTCATAATCCGTGCGCACGCTTTCGCAATCCGTTCCCTCGGGTTTGTAAACTCATGGATTTGTGGCCCCGCCCCCACCGGCAGATTCAACCACAGTGCGGGATGCATAGTATTGTGTTTATTAAACATTATTTTTCATAGTAGCCTATGAGACCATGATCCGCACTCACAAAATAGTCTTCTTTTTAGCGTTTATTTTATATTAATCACCAATAGGATAAAACACTGCCGCCTGTGTTTTATAGCCTAAAATAAACGCTAAAAAGATCGAATAGAAAATTTCCTGAATTTTCTAAAAAATACAAAATAAAACGATAGAGTTTCGAGAGAAGAAGGTAAAAAGCAATACAAAACCAATAATGTACCGGTTATGTTGTCATTCCTTTGCTCTCTAACTGAATGCAATGTTATAATAGGCCTAGTTATTTAATAATAACTTTAACAGTGAAAAAAAAAAAAAAAGTTCTTAAAACATTAAGAAACTGGATGTTTTAAACCTTTTCCAAACATTCAAAAACAATGTTGTCTTCATTTAACGTTATGGGATTGTTAGAAAAATGTTCTTTTAACATAAAACTGTTAAGACCTGTTCACACCAAAGACGATAATTGTAATGATAACTACTGTATAACTAAAAAGTTGTAATAATCATTCTAAGTCTAGTTCTATGAGAGTGGTTAAGGCCACACCACAGCTATAATGGTAACATCACAGAGGAACGATATCATTAGAATCACTTTTGATTTTTTTAGTTGACGAACGATAAAAACATTGACAGCAAATCAGAATCCACCTGACATTGAAGAGCTTGAGTATTTAATGTGGCAAATGACAGAACTGTATTGTGCGCTAATAATAAACAGAACGATATCGTCTGTTGGTGTGGTTGTCAATTTAGTTATTGTTATAATTATCTTTATAGATATCGTTCTTGGTGTGCCTTTAGCTGGATGGCTTCCATTCTCTGTTCATTCAACTGTAGTTGAGTTTTACTAAAACACAAGCTGTACTGAATTTAACCTGGAATATTCTTGCTATAACTAGAACATAGCCAAGAAAGATTAGTTTATCGTCATGTCTTACAAGACCAGAATATCAAATCGGTTCACATCTGTTGCAGTGCATGCTGGGTAGTCTTGAATGCCACATACTGTCAGTTAAGTAATGTGCTCATGGTGAACAGTCCTCTGTAATGCCTCTCTGCAGATGCACTGCAGTACACTCAAGAGTTATGGCCTAAGAGTCATGGAGACCCTTGTGTATTTTATGGGTGGGGTGAAGGGAGAGAGAGCAAGAGAGAGAGATTTTTCTAACAGTTGTCATGTCTCTCTGTCACCTTCGGGCCAATAACCCTGGATTCCATCTCTGTCTGAAGCTGTTTCCCACTATTATTTTCTTCTCTTTTTAAGTCCGTTTGGGGACTTTCAGTTGTCTTGTACTACATGCTGACCTGCAGCTTCTTGGCGACCTCTGACCTTGCCCTCATTATGTTAATGACCTTGTGTTGTGGCCACTGCATGAAGTCTTTGTGTGCGCTGTGAGTGGACGCCTTATGTGGAAGTGGCCTCTTCAAAAGGGCTATATTTGTGTACAGAGGTTTCTTCTGCATCTTGCAAGAACAGTCTCGTACAATTGTGCTATTTACAAGAGGTTTTCAGCCTATATCAAATGGGTTATCACAAAGACGTATTCTGGGTTACTTACTACTTAATATGTCTATGGATAGCATATGTTGAAAACTATAGAACATTTTATTTGGCTGTTGGTTTGTAAATGGAAAATGCATGTACAGTTAATACACTTGAACTTAGAAGTCATGCAGGCAATTGAGTAGTACCATGACAGTAATGTTTAAAACACACAGTATTAAACTGGGTCGTAAGCCAAAACTGAGGGCAGGGCTGAAATTATTCACTGTAATACACTGTAAATACACTGATCAAAATTTTGAGGTTGGTAAGATTTTTAAATGTTTTTGAAGGAAGTCTCTTATACTGACCAAGGCTGCATTTATTTGATCAAAAATACAGTGAAATATCAATATGTAATTATTGTGAAATATTATTACAATTTAAAATAACTGTTTTCTATTTTAATCTTTTTTCAAATCTATTTTATTCCTGTGATGGCAAAGCTGAATTTTCAGCAACCATTATTCCAGTCTTCAGTGTCACAAATGATCCTTCAGAAATCATTCTAATATGCTGATTTCTAACATTTTTTTTTTATTGTTATCAATGTTGAAAGCTGTTGTGCTGCTTAATATTCTGTGGAAACTGTGATATGTTTATTTCAGTACTTTTTATTAATCGAAAGGACAGCATTTATTTAAAGTAGAAATCTTTTATAACATTGTAAATATCTTTACTGTCACTTTTAATCAACTTAAAGGGATGGTTCACCTAAAAAGAAAAATTACCCCATGATTTACTCACCCTCAATATAAATATTATTCTTACACAAGCTCAGCGATTTGCTTCAGAAGGCCTTTATTAACCCCCCAGAGCCGTGTGGAGCACTTTTTATGATGGAAGGAGACTTTTTTTATGATGGAAGGAGTTTTCTGGAAGAGCCAGAACTTGAAAAAAAAAAAAAATCAGATTGTATTCATCTGAAAGAAGTCATATACAACTAGGATGACTTGAGGGTGAGTAAATCATGGGGTCATTTTCATTTTTGGTTGAACTATCCCAATGCATCCTAGCTGAATCAAAGTATTATTTCTTTAAAAAATGACAATATGAGTTGTGACAGTAAATTGCTATTCAAATGATCCGCAAACTCATATACAGCATAGTTAGATCTAATTATTTTCTTTCCCCACCAGTTTGCACAGGCACCAAGAATGCTCTCAGCTCCACAGGCACGCCTGCACAACACTACAACAACCTAAAGGAGCGCTACACCGGATGTGAGATCGTCATGGGCAACCTTGAGATCACACAGATGGAGAGTGACCTCGACTTCTCCTTTCTTGGAGTAAAATAATATTTTTTACACATATATAATGGTTGATTTGGCCATAAGATAAAATTCTGATCGTATGCTTCTCTTTTAGAGTATCCGAGAGGTCACAGGCTACATCCTCATTGCTATGAACCAGTTCAGCAGGTTGCCGCTGGACCAACTAAGAGTGATTCGTGGTAGCAGCCTGTATGAGAAGGAATGGGCCCTTTCTGTCTTCCATAATTTTGAGAGTCACGGTGGCCTGGAAGATCTGGGCCTCACCAACCTCACAGGTGAGATGAGATTGTAATAAACTGTTAGTGAGGGAAATGTGCTAAAAGAGTCAAAGAGATGTCACATTTGAGTACAGAAATGAGTCATTTGTCCAAATTGAACATGAAACCACAATGCAGCGTGCCACTGCAGAAACAGAAACAAAACGTACCTGCTACAGTGGTGGCCAAAATTATTAGTACACTAGTATTTTCACCAGCTAAAAAATGGTTTTAAGTCAGGTATTTCTATCTTTTGCTGTAGTGTGTCAGTAGGAAATATCAGTTTACATTTCTGAACATTCATTTTGCCATTAATTGTAATAATCCAGGGAGATTTGTGTTTGCACAAGGAGTCTGACAACAGCCAGAGCTCCACACAGAGATCTGATCTGATCATCATCCAGTCTGTCTGGAATGACATGAAGAAACAGAACAAACTGAGACAGACTAAATCCAGAAGAACTGTGGCAACATCTCCAAGATGCTTCAAGAGACCTACCTGCAAAGCTACCTGTGCGCAAGTGCACCTATAGGGCAAAAGCTGCTTTAAACGCAAAGGATGGTCACACCAAATGTTGATTTAATTTAGTTAATAGAAGTTAACTGATAAAGAAAATCTATTTATGACATTATTTTTGACAGCACCCTCATTTTACAGCATTTTTACACTAGTGCCTAAAACTTTTTAACAGTACTGTAGCTTTGCAGGTAGGTCTCTTAAAGCATCTTGGAGATGTTGCCACAGTTCTTCTGGATTTAGTCTGTCTCACTTTGTTCTGTTTCTTCGTGTCATTCCAGACAGACTGGATGATGAAGAGGTCAGATCTCTGTGTGGAGCTCTGGCTGTTGTCAGACTCCTTGTGCAAACAGAAATCTCACTGGATTATTACAGTTAATGGCAAAAATGAATGTTTGGAAATGTAAACTGATATTTCCTACTGACACACTACAGCAAATATAGAAATAACTGACTTAGCTGGTGAAAATACTGGTGTTCTAATAATTTTGGCCTAAAAAAAATTTGGTGATGGATTTATTTTGAAACAATTTTCACTCAGAAATTTCTAGTAAATTTCACAAATAATAACAAAGAAACAAGTTTTGTTGTTGAATTAAACATGAGTACAAAGACTGAAGTAGTATTTTCTTTAAACCTAATCCAATAGTCATTTTTACAATGTGAAAGAGAGAGTTTTTATCTCTTGGATCATAAATGCTTCCTCGGATCATTCCTTTCTGTGGAGCATTTATGACCCATGTCTTGTAAAGCTACCTTCTTAAGACAAGAGAATGTGACAGCTTGATTTGACATCAGTGATTTGTGGAAATGTGTAGGAGTGTTTAGGAATCTGGCACATTTGCATAGTTTAGCACTGGCTCACCCATGTCACTCAATAGAGCAGAATACTATACAGACAGGCCCTCAGAAGAGCTTGAGCTTGGCAGTAGTGTGTCTGTGTGTTTTGTTGGTCACATCAGTTGACTTGTTCAGACTCATCTGAGATGTTAGAAAAGAACACATATTGTATGTCTTCTGTGTTAGCTGAGCAAGCAGTATCTTACTTTTTCTGCAGATCTTCTGAGACATTTACAAGAATTAGAACAACCCCTCTTTATTTCTGTCTTGAGAGTAAAATTAAACTTAAAATAACTCTTCACACTTAATATAGTACAGTTAATAGACAATACTTTAGACAAGCACAAGTGCAAACAGGTGTTTGTTCCACCTCTATACATCACATGTTCTGGCTTAAATTAATCAGACTTCCTTCATTGGGTCCGCAGAGATCTTGGAAGGAGGAGTACAGATTGTCCATAACAGGAATCTCAGTTATGCTCCATGGATCAACTGGCGGGACATTGTAAGAGACAGTGATGCTTGCATCCAGATCCAGAACAACGGAAGAAGAGGTTTGTGCATTCACATCTTGATTGGGTGGTTATTGATGGAGAGTGTGAGATAGGTGTGTGTCACTCAATTATGTTTTGATGTCCAGAAACAGTTTTTGTCATTTACTTACCTCCATGTCGTCCCATCCTCGTATTGTTGTCTGTCTTCTGTAAAACACAATAGGAGGTGTGAGGAAGAACATCTGAGCTGTTACTTACCAGATATGGAAAGTAGATGATGATTTGATAGACAAAAGAGTGCCATAAAAGTAGCTTAAAAGGCTTTCTGATGCCTTGTCAAATGTTTTTTTTTTTTTTTAAAGATTCATTTTTTTGCCATTTTGCCTTTATTTGGATAGGACACTATTTCTGAAAGGAAGCGAGGAGAGAGAAGTGCAATGTCGGCACACTGCCCACGAGGCTATTGTTGCCAACCAAATCTGTTTTTTTTTTGTTTTTTTGTGAGGAACAGTCACTCTGACGGTTCACAGGAATATATGTTCAAGAACCAATGTTGTTAAATACCAATGATGTCAATGTTTAAAAATTGTTTTGAAACAAAAGCACAAAATGAGATAAAATGAGATAGTACGGGGTCAGAACCAAATGAGGGTCTGGTACTGATGACAAAATGTTCATTTTTGAGAGAATTATCCCTGTGATTTCATTTATTTAGACCATTGACCTCTCTGTGTGTTTCATAGGATCCTGTGAGTCTGCATGCGGAGAGTTCTGCTGGGGTCCACGTAAAGATCAGTGCCAGAAATGTGAGTAACTGAGATTCAGTTTTCAGTTTCTTTCAAAATTCTCTCATTTCTTTAAAAAAGAAAAATCTTACTGACCCCAAACTTTTGAATAGTGTATCTTGTGTGATATTTTGCACAGGTTTTATTCTTTTTATAACTGTCCCATAGGCGCCGATTTATGTTTGTGTTGGTGGGTGCCCAACCTCCGTAACAATCACAAAACTCACTTTAAAAAAAAAAAAAAGGGGCAAATACAGTATCACTCAGTGTTAAACTAGGTCTATACTGTTTATATTTGGTGTTTGTTTTTCAAGTCTTTTTCTCCAAGCACTTGATGAAGAGCTCAGTTCACGAACAGAAACACACGGACTATAAAATAAATAAATGTGTATAAATGTGTAACGGACGCCTCGCAGATGCAAACAAGGTGAATAATGTTTGTTTTTTGATTAAAATAAAGTTAACATTGGCCAGCCACATATCAGGTTGTTTATTACTTAGCAGAGCTGCTGAAACCAGAGTTTTGCACTAAATAAAACCAAATAATTCACACATAAGATGAAATCAACAGATGCAAGGAGTATTCGATGAAGCCCGGGTTCATTAATGTTTACTTTATAGAGATTTTCATGGAGGAAATTAACAAATATACGAATTTTTCCGACTTTGAAGCATAGCTTACTGCCACATAAAACTCCATGCGATCGCCTAAATATGAACTACTGATAATGAAAACTGCTCAAACACAGTTTTATCCAGAATTAAATACTGAGTGTGCTTCAGATATTAGTGGGTGTGCTCTAGCCTCAATGCACATACATTTTCATGTATATTTTTGTCCCATCCATTGCTCTTTCGAGTGTGAATCCCACATAAATATGCCGATGTCATTCTCGAAACTTTGCAGTGTGTGCTGTATGTGGCCAAAAAACAAACGTTTTATACAAATTCTGAACGGATTTATATATAACCTAGAAAGCAAAAAAGAGCACTCCCTTTATAATCACTAAAAAGCTGTCCCTCATCTTAGTCAATCATGGTATCATGAAGTTTCGTTATAATAAGAGGATTCGCAAGCTTGCAATGGACAGCAGTGTTTTGAGCGGTGAGTAGATTCTAACTTTAATGCCTCTGATTGGCAGTTGCGTTCAAGAATTCAACAGTCTGTGATTGGCTACATTGTTGAATGCTGCAAAAACAAAACAAAAAAAAAAACAATGTAAATAGAAAGCTTTTGACGCTCTCCAGAGGGCAAACACAAATATGCTCTTGATAGTTTGTCAGATTTGTTTTGCCAATATGATGGTAAATAAAGAAAATCTTGAGGTTTTCCTGTGGGTGCTCAGCCATTCGGCGCCTATGAACTGTCATACTGTTATACAAAATGATACGAAGGTGATTCGTCTGTGTGTATTTCAGTGACAAAAACAGTGTGTGCGCCTCAGTGTCATGGCCACTGTTTTGGGACCAACCCTAATGAGTGCTGCCACACAGAGTGTGCTGGAGGCTGCATTGGACCAAGAGACACAGACTGCTTTGTGAGTACTAGCACCATTGCCATTATACTCTAATTGCTCAAGATCTGCCACATCTATTGTAAGGGACAATTTCAATGAAAACAAAGCATTGTAACAAACTTTTCTCAAGCTTTTGACTCTGATACTCTCCCAACAGGCCTGTCGACATGTCAATCACTCAGGCGCCTGCGTCCCTCACTGCCCTTGGCCTCTGGTGTACAACCGACAGACCTTTCAGCTGGAGCCCAACTCTGAAGCCATGTATCAGTACGGTTCCATCTGCGTACCCAAATGTCCTGGTGAGTTACGAGCGACTATACTCAGTTTACCACAGAAGAGAGTTTTACTAAAGCATGAGCCGGAAAATAAATAACCCGTTTCTGAGGAAATGGTGGCGTGGTCGATAAAGATCTAGGATTGTAATTTAAAGATAGCTGGTTTGAAACCTGCTGGAAATGATGTATAGGTTAGTAAATTATTGTAAATTAACTGTGAATGAAATCTGGGAGCATTCAGTGAGAGATTTGGATGATATGCCTCATTGACAGTGCATCAGAACTGCATTGACATATCCATGGAAACCATGAACAACTTGGTAAACATGACACAAGTTTAAACAAACGCCAGATTTGAATGGTGCTACACCACTCCCTTCTCTGTGTTGTTCTTTTTGATTAAATTTGTGGCTGGAGAGTCCACAATTAACACTCGCCTAACACCACCTGCGTTGGCGTAGCAGAGTAAATAAAACACAGGAGTGATTGCTGGTGCCATTTTTAGGAATTGCAACATAATACATGGTTTTAAACCACAATGTATGATTGCTAGTCTTGATCAACATCAAATCAGAGATATCAAGTATGCTAAAGAAAATGGACTTTAACTTCCCATTAAAAGCATATTCAGAAAGTCACAGGAAAAAAACACTAAATAAATAATTAACAAAAATATAAAAATTCTTAAAAGAATTTAATTAAAATAAAAAATCTTAAATTTAAAAATATATATATTTTACTTTAAAATAAATATTCTAAAAAAAGTCTTTAAAAATACATATGGTTTGTCATTTTAATTATTTTTATTTATAGAAATTATTTTTTTTTTTTATCAGCAACATGGACAAATCAAATCATTGTCACTTTCCATCAGAAGTATATACAGAAAACCACAGTAGCAAAAAACAAATAACCACAAAATTATTCCTTCAAAAAATAAAATAATTCCTTTTGAAAAATATATATTACATATATTTTTTTATTTATAGAAATTGTATGTATATGAATTTTATTTTTTTTTAAGGATTTTTAATAGAAATGAAGCAAAATGCACTTTCATGGCAGGGGCTGTGTTTGTTTATGATGCTGTAATAATGGTAGTTTACAAAGCACAGTAAAGAAAAAAGATTTTTATAAGACTCTTAAGACACATATTGAAGAGTGCGCGGTATGTAGAATGGATGCCCTTATCCTCTTTTTTTTTTCAGGTCACTTTTAGCCTCTTTTTTTCCAGGTCACTTTATTGTGGATGGCAGTGCATGTGTGAGCAGTTGCCCTCCTGGTAAAAGAGAAAAAAAGAAAAATGGCATTAAGCAGTGTGAACCTTGCATTGGCCTGTGCCCCAAAGGTAAAGTGTCCATCTAACCATTATTTAATTTACTGGACCACAGCAGCTGAATGCAGAGTCTTGAAGAAGATACAATTAATTTGGTGTCATGTGGCCCCTCAGATTTTTCTCTTTCTCTGTATAGTATGTGAGGGAACGGGAGCCAATCATAGACAGACAGTGGACTCCAGTAACATAGACAGCTTTATCAACTGTACCAAGATCCAAGGAAGTCTACATTTTCTGATCTTAGGTATCAAAGGGTAAGACACACACATAAACACACTCCTTAAATAAACTCTTTCAGCCCTAAACAACAATGTGCCATAAACAGTCTGTGCTATATTCCAGACCTTTGCCCTGTAATGTCATCGAAAGCTTTAATTAGGCCTTTGCATGTGATTCACAGGCTATTTCTCAGCTTAGATTCATTTCGCATATTATTAACTGATGAATAAACAGAGCTGATTGATGAGCAGCCACAGGGAGTCCATTACTGAAATTGTTTATGCTAATATCCACACTGTTCTTATTCTGCAGAGACGTCTATCATAGCATACCACCTCTGGAGCCTGAAAAACTCAATGTGTTTAACACTGTCAGAGAAATTACTGGTATGCTACTTTATTTTAGGCTTAAACTGATTGTTCTCTGTTTGTGTTCTTGTTGCTGTAGTTTTTGTTACGTCGTTCCACGTCATGTTGTGACTCAACTGTGTGTGTGTGTGTGTGTGTGTGTGTGTGTGTGTGTGTGTGTGTGTGATTTATAGGAATTTTGAACATTCAGTCTTGGCCTGATGAACTCAGCGATCTGTCTGTTTTCTCCAGTCTCACTACCATTCAGGGAAGATCTCTACTCAAGTAAGACTGAGAGTGTGTCGGTGTGTGTGAGAGTATGTGATTTATGTGTGTTCGCAGGGTCTAGTATTAACCTTTTGCCACACATACAAATTCACATGGGTGAATTATACTGGCCATGAAAATGTATATACTGCATTATTGTTATTCCAAACTTTTTATATATTGTTCTATATTATATATTGTTATATAGTTTTTTAGTTTTTTTTTACTTGTATTGTTCAATATTGATGCACATAACGTTTTGGGTCAGATTTTTTAAATGTATTTGAAAGAAGTGTCTTATGCTCACCAAGACTGCATATTTGATAAGAATACAGTTAAAACAGTAATACTGTGAAATATCTTATATTTATATTCTGTTTATATTTTAATTTATTTTAAAATGTAATTTATTCCTGTGGTGCAAAGCTGATTTTCAGCAGCCATTACTCCAGTCTTCAGTGTCACATGACCCTTCAGAAATCATTCTAATATGCTGATTTTCTGCTCAAGAAACATTTCAATGCAACTGTTGAAAACAGTTCTGCTTAACATTTTTGTGGAAACTGTGAGTTTGTTTTTTTCAAGACTTTTTATTTGAAAGTTCAGAATAGCATTTATTGAAATAGGAATCTTGAATACTGTCACTTTATCTTTGATTTTTGTAATCATTTTAATACATCCCTGATTACTAAAAGTTTTAATTTATTTAAAACAAAATCTTACTCATCCTAAACTTTTAAATGGCACTGTATATATCAGACAATATTGAATATCTAATTGTCTAATATATTCTAATATGAATATCTAAATATCTAATACACTCATTTGCTAATTGTAAACACTCCTTTTACCACTATCTAATGCTCACTTAAAGTAAATTGTTCTCAAAGTTAATCAGTGTCAAAATAAATATCCATTTTTCGTAATGTAAATTATAATTTTGATGCATAAAATTACTTGAAGCATTTAAAAAGATTGATTTTAGGTTTTAGTATTCCGTTTCAATTTTAATATCATTCTTTGGTTGTCATTGTAATTTTGGACCCTGTGTGTGTGTGTGTGTGTGTGTGTGTGTGTGTGTGTGTGTGTGTGTGCGCGTGCTTGTGTGCGTGC